CGAAGAAAGCTTCTCCAGCCCTTGTGGACTGTCCTTAGGCTAAACTCCCTGCTTCTAGCAACCTTTCTGACCTTGTGCCTGGTCCCTCACTCCTTCTGGGGGCTTTTCTCTTTGGGTGTCCATTTTTGCCTGTATTTTAAGGAATCTTTGCAGACCTGACCAAGTGGGCATTTCAGAGCATCTTCGTCTTCCACCCAGGCCAATCAGCTTCCTGCAAACAGCACCCTTTGCAGGACAGATCTTGAGGACACTGCCAGATCTGCTCATGCAGATGCATTTAAAAACATACTACTGGATGGTTCTTCTTTCTCCACACACCCTCCCCCAAATATAGAGCACGCTCCTCACCTGTGTGATTAATATGACAAGGTAAATTAGTAATGGATGTTGACAATGAGTGGTTACTCAGTTTTATCTCCTTCCCCCCTTTTGCTGAATCAAGGCTCATGGTGAACAGTCCAGCCTGGCCACTATCAAACACAGGAAGAAGAATGCCATTTCCCTAGCGGTGGGCATGAAAGCTAAATCCACAAGCAGACTCGGGAGCTGCCTGGGGGCAGAGGAACACTGGGTGATGTGCGGGTTCACCTCAGAAGCCCTGCACGGACAGTTGCTCCCATTCAAATTCTTTCTTTTCTGTCAGTCCTCCCCAACACCCCCACGTTACCAGCAAAGGAAAGGAGACAGTGAGAAGCAAGAGCAGCTAGTCAGAGTCACAGAGTGGGTCAGGGCGCTTCAAGTTCACAGAATCTTTGCACCGAAGGATTATTTTAGGGCTCAGCTACCCACTCATATTAGAGCACAAAGAACTGAAGATCTGGGGTAAATGACTTGTTCAAGGTCAGAGTGGGCCACAGCTGAGAGTTCCAGGTCCTAAGTAACATCAAGTCCCCAAGCTGCACCGGAGCATTCAACTTCTCCGCCAGCCCATCCTCTATGACCTCACTCAGTTTTTGTTTCTGTCTTTTTCCTGTCCAGGAAATGTCCCCAGCTTTCTCTAAGTCTAAAGAGATATCTCCCTCCCTGATGTTACAGAATGTGTCATATCCCTCACTCACTGGCACCACTACATAGGATGCCCTTTGACATCCCATGAGTCATGGAACTTTGAGTTGGCAGGGTCATTGGAGGTCATTTAACTCATGCCTCACTCTCACACTCTCATACTTCAGCACCAATGTAGCTGAAGTTCCCCTGAGAAAGGTTCTTGCCGTGCTGATGATTGCTATGTTTCCTCTCCAGGACCCTGCACCATGCCCTACATAAATGTAACCAGCCCCTCAGTGCATATTTGGCTCAAGATGGCTGTTTAGCAATTACCAAGAATGTAGGTGTCTGATGGGCTGAGATTCCAGTCCCAGGTCTGCATTTACTCAAAGTGAGACCTTGGACTAGGCACCTGACCTCTCTAAAGAATGTTTCCTTACCTGTAAAATGGGAATAGATCACAACAGTGCCCACTTCATATATTTTATGTGAGTAAATAATGAAAGGCAAGGGTAAAGCTCTGAGCAGCACAGTAAGGATTCAACAACGACTTGCTATTCCTTGATCAATTTCAGGAAATTCACTTTATCAGGACCACTGACTTAGATTCTAAAGAAGAGGCCCAGACAGAGAAACTTGGTGGGTATTTCACCTCTGAGGGAAACTTCCACCTACATAAAGCAGGCCGGAACATGAAGGGAAGATTAGAAACATGAACAGGAAAAGACCTGAAGAAAAGCCTTTTAAGTCTGGGCACTACCAGTTATAGAGCCAATAATTCAAACAAGAGAGGCAGGCAGAATGGAGGGAGGGAAGGCCAGGTATGTCGGTGACTTTGGTGAAAAGGGATGGTAGACAGTGTGTGCAAAATAATTTTGAGCTTCCCCAACTGGACTTGGAATAGAATGGGAACTCTACCTTTTGTTTGTTCACTGCCCCTTAACAACAGGGACATTTTACCACCACCAACTCTAGACCCACAACCCAAAGCATAGCCTGAGGGCTTTGGTAGACACTATCACCCCCTAGTGGTGGCTCCACACACCCCGCTATTGGCAGGATTCAGCATTTACCGACTTTGCATGTGCATCTGTGGCGCATGCCATCTCCAAATCCCTTGAACTGGTGACCTAGTAGTGAAAGACTCACCCAACTCGCCAGAGACAAACACTAGGGAAGGATGTTTAGAAGGTCTGAAGATGGGATGATGGGATGGGGCTGCCTGGGGACCCTGGGGAAGATACGGCCATAAATGACTCACAGTACCCACCCCCCGCCCTCATTTTCAGCCAGCCTGGTCCTCCCAGAGCTCGTTGTGCACTCTGTGTTTACACACAAACAGTGGAAGAACAACACAAATAAAAAGCCCACGTCTCCCTACACAGATCCTGCTATGCTCGGCCATCTGGCGACTACCTCGCTAGCCAAATCCCTGGTAGGAGTGCCTCGGGCTGCCAGTCCAGGGCGCCGGGGAAGGAGGAGGAGGAACCTGCTTCCCCAAAGGGCTCAGGGCTTCCAAGGAGGATGGCACCTGCCACTCCACAGCAGGCAGTCCCCAGGCGCCAAGGCTCAGCCACCTGCGTCAGAGAAGGCGGAAGCCTCCAAGTGGAGAGCACCAGAAGACTCATGCTGAAGCACAGGTCTGGGGGATTTGACACTTCCAGCTCCTCACTCAGTTCCTCACTCAGCCTGCCCTGGGCTCCCAGGTACCCATATCCTCTTGAAAGCCAAAGTTTAAAAACGCAGAGATTGCCAGCTCCAGGAATTCTGGAGCGACTCCTGTAGCTGGCTGGACCAGGTCCTCCACATCCTAGGGAAACTGGAACGCTTCCAAGTCATGCCATACCCAAGGATGTCCCCCCCCCCACTTTCCCCCTCATCTGAACAGCCATTTAGAAGGATCCCCACTCCCTCCCTCTCAGGACATCCGGGAGTAGAGAGATTTCGAAGGTGGAGGGAGAAGGTTGGAATTGGAAGTGATGAGGGACACCCTCCGTTTCTCTGGAAGGACCCTTCCCTGCGGCGGGGTCACAGGAGCCCAAGGTTGGCTCTTTGCCCTAAGGAACCCCATCTTCACTCCCATCTCCTTACTTGGAAATGGGCAGCTCACAAGTGCACGTGGGAATGGCTCTTGGTGTGTGTATGTGTGTGTGTCCGTGTCCCCCCCCCCCACTTTCCCCCTCATCTGAACAGCCATTTAGAAGGATCCCCACTCCCTCCCTCTCAGGACATCCGGGAGTAGAGAGATTTCGAAGGTGGAGGGAGAAGGTTGGAATTGGAAGTGATGAGGGACACCCTCCGTTTCTCTGGAAGGACCCTTCCCTGCGGCGGGGTCACAGGAGCCCAAGGTTGGCTCTTTGCCCTAAGGAACCCCATCTTCACTCCCATCTCCTTACTTGGAAATGGGCAGCTCACAAGTGCACGTGGGAATGGCTCTTGGTGTGTGTATGTGTGTGTGTCCGCGCACGCGTGTGTATGCTTGAACGTGTGTGTGGCACACCAGACGTGCCGCCGCGGAAAGTCCCCTGGGAACCTGCAAGGCGCCCTCCCGCCTAGCATCCCACAAAGCTCAGCACGCTCAAGTTACAGCCAGCTGGGGAGAGCCCAGGGGCCAGAAACCCGAGGCACATGCTCAGACCAGGAAAGGGCCTGGCACTCGCTCAAATCTCCAAAGGCGGCCAGCACGAAAGGGAAGTGGCGGGCGGGCGGGGGGCGTCACAAAAATACATCAAAAATATTATGGCTCCCAGGAGAGAGGAGTCTAGTCCATTGATTACTCTTTGGGGCTTCTCGGGCGAGCAAGGAGTTAACCTCAGAGGTTCAAGCCGGGACCCCGAAGGCGCGGACATCGAAGGCCCATCACCCCCGCGGTGCCGGAGCTCAGCCGGATCCCGGGGTCTGGAGTCTGGGGCGAGCCCCAGGCGCCTTCCTGGAGCTGCTGTTGGCCAGACTCCGACAACCAATCGCACCCCGCTCCCCCAAGAAGGGACGGGGGAGAGAGACCGGCGAGCGCGGGAGAGCTAAGGGGAAACAACATTTTTGTAAACGCTCTCCGAGATAATTAAGCGATCAATTACCCGGGTGGGAAATCAGCTGCGCCTCCCACAGCTACCTGGAAGGGCCGACTCCGGGATTCGCGCTGGGAACCAGCAGGCAGCAAGCTGCGGGCGAACTTTCTGATTAACTTTTACGTTTGAGCCCCCACCCCCATCCTTTTCCTCTCCCCTTCCTTTTTCATGCCTTTAAGTTATTATTATTAGCCCAGTGAGTGAACTGCGAGGACAAACCTGCTCTCCGCCGGGAGGTGGGTAGGAAGGCGAATGCGACAACGGGGATGGAGGGAGAATCTGAAAGTGGAGGGAGACCTTGGGTTCCGAACGCCAGTGCTCGGAAATCACTCAATCCTCCCCAGCCCCATTTCACAGATGGCTAAAACTGAGGCCCAGAGAGGGGACGCGACTTGGCCAAGGTCACCCAACCCATCGGGAGGCCGAATTTATGCGGACTGAGGGATTCTACATGGAGCGACTCCGCTCCGATTCTCGAGAAAATCGAACCGGAAGAGCAGAGCCAACGACTCCGAGGCGACAGCGAGGGGGCGGTGACCGCGGGCGGCCAGTGGCCGTGCCCCAGGAGCAGTGGGCGGCTGGACCCAGACCTGGCTCCCGAGCGGGGGACTACCACGGCCCCCGGCTCAAGCACACTCAGGCAGTTGGGGTTTCAGCGTCAGCGACGGATCGCGGCAGAGCTCAACGTCTGCACTGAGAGACGGACGGCCAGGTCCCCACCGCGGGAGGGTTGGCACGCCCCCGGCCTCCCTCCACGCGCTCGCTCAGATACTGCCCCGGACTCATTCCAACCACCTGTACGCCCTCCGGGCCCCTCAGCTGCCCTCACTCAACCCCGCGCGGGGCAGCCCGGGGCGGGAATCCCCAGGGCGCCCCCACCCGTCTGGCTTCGCTTGGGGGCTCCCGGTTCCCTGGGACCTCGCGTGTACGGGCGCCCAGCCTTACCCAGGGTGAAGAAGGGCAGCTCTGTGTTGTCCAGGTCGTCCTGCACCGCGATGCGCCCCGGCAGCTCGTTACGCACAAAGAGCAGGAGGCGCGACTCGGCGGCGGTGCCCGCGGAGCCAGCGGAGCCCGGGGACGCGGCGGCGGCTCCTGCCCCGGTCCCACTCCCGGCCCCGGCGCGGGTGCCGCTCCAGCCGATGTCGCTCTCCCGCATGGCAGGCAGCGTGGACACCGTGACTGTCTTGAGCCGGCATGGGCTGTCGGGCTCCCGCGAGGCGGCGGCGGTGGCGCCGGTCAGAAGCGGCGGCGGCGGCAGCAGGAGCAGGAACAGCAGCAGCGGCGGCGGCGCCGGGTGGAAACCGAGCCTCAGCCGCCCCCGGAGCCCCGAGCTGGGGCCGGGGCTGCGCCGGGCGCCGGCGGCGGCCATGGCGGGAGGGGCTGCGGTGCTGCGAGCGGCGGTGGCGAAGGAGGAGGAAGAGACAGCGGCGGCGGCGGCGGACGCCGAAGCGAACCAGGACGCCGGAGCTAAGGAGCCGTGGGAGCCGCTCGCTAGCAGCCCCCGGCTCCGGGCTCCGCCTCCCGATCGGCCCTGGCCCCCCCCCCCCCCGCCCCCCCCAGCCACTCTGTAATCCCACTTTGCTTCTAGCTACTGAAACCTCCTAGATTCTTTGCCCTAGAAAACTCCTATGCATCCATCAAAACCCAGCTGAGATATCCTGCCCTCAGTCAAGCCTTTCCTTGATGAGCCCCTGATAGAGTTAGTTGTACTTTTTACTCTGTAGCCCTTTGCAGTACAGCCAGGGTGAACTGCCCAGGGTTAGGTCGTTATTAGGCCTTACCTGTCTTCCCTAGGGGCATCCCCTCCCCGTTTGGGCTCACCTTCTCAGGGGCGTAAACCACCATCTTTCAGGGTGTCCCCTGCTCCTGGCACAGGAGAGCAGCTCAGCCAGATGTGGTTGGGGAAGAATTTCAGTTTGACTCCAAGGAGTATTCTGAGAGCTGCTGGCCAGCTCCTCAATGAAAGCATACTGATGGGATTTGCACGCAGCTGGGGCCCTAGGTGTTCCAAGGCATTTGGATGTTGGAATGGCTTTATGAGCATGGGGAGATCTTGCTTGGCTGCACTAGAAAAACACGCATCGTGAGCCTTGGCCTTGGCTGGTAAAACATCTGCGCCAACGTGTGCTTCTTAATTATTGCCTTAGAGGGGAAAAACCCCGCGCCACCTCCCCGGGCCCCGCCGCCCGCCCCTTCTCTGGCTCCCCACTCAGACCCCGAGCGTCTCGGAGGCTCCGCCCAGCCTCGTGCGAATCCCAGTCGTCCCCTCTCCTTTCCCAGGATCCCCCAATCCGCCCTCACAATATTCTTTAGCCACAGCACCCCTCTGCAAATTCCTAAGACTGAGGGACCCCGGGTGCTTCCCCTTATTCCCCAGGGCTCAACCCAGCTGGCCCAGCTTTACCCCACCCCTGGCCCAACCCAGAGGCTGCACCTGGGGGCGCGCCTTAGCCCAGCCTTGCTCCAGACCCCGCCTTCTGGGGGGTAGGGGCGCCTGAGGATGGTCAAGACAACTTTGTCTCCCCTCAAGCCCAATAACAAGTCCTGTACCCTTTCCTAGTCCCTGAAATAATTCCTCCTGGCTTCAGAGACCCCTGCCCACCCACTTGCCCACAACTCAGGCATTCCTTCTCCCACCTCTCCCATCTACCCAGGCCTCGGAGGTTGCACCAACAGCTAATGGACAAAGGGTTGTCGAACTCCACCCTCTAAGGCCCCCACCCTCCTGCACGGACTCCAGGAGGATGCTCTGGGCCCCAGCTGCCGCCCTGCAAGCCAGCGCTTTTTTCTGGATCCTGTTCCCAACCTGGACAGCACTACTTGGCCGATCTGCCTGTAAAATTCCTGAAAAGGGTGCGAGGTAGAGACCTACTACTCTGCTTCTGGCTCCCACGGGCTCCCACATCCTCTGCCCCCCTCCCGGAGGAGAGGTCTGTTCACCGACTCTTCAATCCCGCCCTACCCCACCCCCAAGCCCGGTCGTTTTTATCCTGGATTCAAGCTGAGCTCTAAACATAGGTCTTCGGACACAGGGCAGCCTTTTGGCCCTGGGCACGTTCTCTCTGACCCACATACCAGGTATCCCCCAGCGAGCCATCACCTCTGCAGGAATCTGGACCTTGAGGGGCCCCGCCTTCTCTACCCCCCTCTTTTTCTTCCTCTTTCCTCTCTCTGTTCTCTCTTTCATCTCTCCACTCATTTCATTCTTAACCTTGTCTTGACTTTAATCTTATAAATGCTTCCTACCTATTATTTGTGAGCCATTTCCCATCTCCCGGTATTTCTTGCCCATCTGCACACCTTTGGTGTGGTCTCCTCCGTGCATTAACTTCTCTCACCTTAGCTCTTCCCTCTTCTGCCTCCCTTCTCCTTTCTGTATTTAACCCTTCATAGGAAAGGCCTTTTTCCCTCTCCCAGCACATTTTATTTACTTTTTCATGACTTTGGATAAAGGAAGAGGACTTAAAAGAAGGAAAAATCACAACCTGTTTTGTGAACTTGGACTTAATTATACTGTTTATTAAGCATTCTCCAAGTGCTAGACATGTACCTATGTTAACTTTTATATATAAACATACTCCAATGAGATGGGTATTATGATTCCCATTTTCCAGATGAGGAAACTGAGATCAGGAGGTCAGGGAGGTAAAGGGACTTCCCGGGGTCACTCAGCTAATGAGCACAAGAGCTAAGATCTGAACTCCAAGCTCCAAAGCCTTGGCTGTTCCCACTGAAACACACTGTCCTCAGTGACCTTGGAAAAGCCCACCTATCAAAGATGTTGTGAAGGCACATCGCATGAGTGCATCTGGGTCTTTTTCAGCTCTGAGGTTTGTAAGGTGTGCTTCCCCTGTCTCAGTTTACTAATCTGTGAACCCAAGGAGGGGGCGGGGGTGTGGAAATCTGGCTTTTCAAGTCCTCTGATTCTAAATTGTCTCCTGCCTCTCTGATGCCTGCTCCAGTTCATTTACTCCCCCAAAATATGTCACCCTGGCTCCCTCAGTCTCTCCTTTGTACCCTTACAATCCGCCACTATCCTCTGCAACGGGGCTTTCTGATTTTCTATGCCCCTTTCTTCAAATATGCTGACATAGTCCATTTATAGAAGTGCACACCAGGGAAAAAGGGCTCCCTTATGTAAGGCAGAGTCTGTGCAAGTCCTTCATGGACCCCTGGTACAAAGGCCTGTCAAATGAGACCAACACTTTCATTCATTCATTCACCACCAAATATCTAGGGCTCCTACCAGGCACTATAAGGGGATGCAGAGATGCATAAACACAACTCCTGCCCTTGGAGAGTTTATAACGATGGGAAGGGAGGTGTGGGGATGAGAGAACACAGAAATATCTCAGATACCAGGCAGGCAGGCAGGCAGACAGACAGACATGTGTTTCTTTTATGAGGTGCTCTGAAACATATGCTTGGAGAAATCAAAGGAAGCTTCCCAGAGGAGGTGGCATTGGAATTGAGCCATGTAGGACTAGTAGCATGGGGTTAAATCTGCCATTTGGCATTCCT